GCTCGCTGCCAGGTTTCCTGCCTTATTTACTGCCACTGTGGTAAATGAATCATGTCAGCTGCATTAAAAAGGATGTATCACAAACTTCTTTCAATGCTGACAGAAACTTACTCTAATTAAAGCTGAGACTTGGCGCTTTAATGTAGCATCCATTACTGTATTTCAAACTGAATGTGTTGGAGCTCAAATCATTTTTGACCATTTTCTAAAGCATATCATGGATGTTTAGATTCTTGGGGAGATTTTCCTTTCTAATAATAGACAATCTGACTTGTGATAATAAGAAAAGCACAGGTGCGACTAATAACATTAACAACGAGGGCTCTGTTCAGTTATGACAGTGTGACAGTGAGCCAGCACCTGGAGCCTATAACTGAGGCAGCTAAACAGAATACAGAACATCAATCAATTAATTATTTACACCTGAGCTTCTCCTACTGTGACACGGCAGCATGTCTTCTGTTAAAAAGGCTTGAACCTTATTGAAAAACCCATCACAGTCAACATCATTTCAAAGCTAAATTATTATCAGGCGGGAAAATCTACCGGAAAATGACAACATTACTTTGACAAGCAATGTTTCAAGTCCTTGCTCGCTGACTGCCAAAACTTAATGAAGTAGAAATAATGACTAGAAGAGTTACCCTCTTACGTGTGGACCACGAAGCCTCTACAGGTGTAAAGAGGAAGCAGGTACGTACCCTCGGACCATGACGTCGCTGGTGAGCAGCTGGGACACGCAGGGACTCCAGTCCCAGAGCATTCGAAACTTGGCACAATCGCTCTGTAGGAAGCGCAGGGTGGCGCCCATGAGGTCCCGCATCTTCATCCTCCGGGGGCCATACTGAACAGTTGATGACTCTTCACTGGTGAAGAAGAGCCTCTGAAACACTGGGGGGGCATTGTCGAAGTACTTTGCAGCAAACCTAACAGAGAAGAGTAGAAAATTAATTATTATTAATTAGGAAATTAGAATAATTTTTTTTTTCTTCTTGGGGGCAGGGGGGTCCTGTTGGGGGTCCAAGGCAATGATAGGGGGAACACTGCACTTAAAGTTAATAGTTAGCAGAGAAGAACCATATTAATCTCATGTCTGTGTGTTAGTATGGCCTAGCTTAGCATAGCTAGCCTAGCTCTGTCCAGAGTTCAAGTATACTCCTACCCACACCTCTAAAGCTCAATGAATAACACGCTGCATCTCATTTATATAATCTGTACATAAACTGAAATGCGAAAACACCTACTTGTGATTTTAGAGGTAGTAAAGCGCTGGAACTACTTCCTGACAAACAACAGTGTATCCATCTGCCTGACACTTGTGTGCAGAGTCTCTGGCCACAGCACAGGTTGCCTAATACAGTCAGTGAGCACAGATTTTTAATTTTGCTCTCCTGACAAGCACAATGGCACCAAACCCAGGAACTTCACTGTGATGGACAAGACTTCAGGAAGCCATGCACAGACACTGCATCCAGCTGTTGTTCGCCTAGAAATAGTTCCAGCAAATAACTCCCCTAAAAGCACACATTTTTAAATTTTTAAATGTTGGTGCCCCGATTAAACAAATAAGATAAATAATGTAAATATGACAGCTTTAGGGTTACTGAGGGGTCAATTTTTGAATTTTGTACAGAGCAAGGCTAGCTTTTTCCCATTGCTTTCCAGTCTTTATGCTAAGCTAGGCTTACTGCATCCTTACTTCAGCTGTGTTTAATGCACAGACCCTACATTTTTCTCCTTATCTCACTCTCAGCAAGAAAACTAGTAACTTTATTTCCCAAAATGTTAAACCACTCCTTTAATGTTCAGGCCCTGTGTTGTAAGGGGGGGCCCTAGTCATAATACCTTTATTATTAATATTTATAATCTGCTCAAAAATGTCATATTCCTAGATATATATTTATTTTGACTATGTGAAGGTGAAAGGAAACAAAATACAGACAGAGAAAAAGTGGTCGTAGAGGGTGTGAAAAGGTCCCCCCTGACACATTTTTCCCAAGGGGCCCCAACCAGGTTAATCTGGCCATGTGTACAGATGCAGCACCAAAGTCAGGATCAGCATCTTTACAGGTAGGATGAAGTGAGTGAACATTTCAAAAGGCACAGTGTGGCGAGAACAGGGTCCACTTACGCCTGTGCATCGGGACTGATGCTGAGGAGTTTGCTGAGGGCCACACACAGGCGCTCATGGAGGTCGTGGTTGATCCTGCCGCCAACTCTGACCCTCTCTGCGTTCCGCTCCAACAGGTCCAGAATCAGCGGCCGCAGGTGTCGTGCTATCAGCAACGTATAATCCTTCTCCAACAGCAGCTGGGCCAAACACTCCAGAATACACTGTCTGTCCTGCTGGTTCCATATCTGAGGAGAGATCACATGGGCACCAATGAAATAATTATATTTTTAAAGAAAAAGTCTGATATAAACCAATGTTTCTTCAAAATATTTACAGTTTAGGCACCAGCATTGATTTAGCACAACATACACACAGAATATACAAAAACTATCTGATTTGTGTACTGACTACTAACATGTGAAGGGAAGGTTACTGTTTGCTGCGCAGAGGACACGTTTTTGAATCACAGTGTGAAATTAAACTGTAAATACATTATTATGTGCCATGCAAGCCAGGAATCAACATATCTTACCTGTTTTGACAGATATTGGCTGAGTTCGTTGTGACTTTTGTCAACATGTCTGGATATGGTGCCCAGTGATGACAGGCTCAATTCTAAATTTTCCATCCTATCATTTGTCGCTCGTGGGGGAGCGATCTACAGCGGAAACGGGCTCGCGCGGTCAACAAACAGGTGTCCTGACTTACTGTTATTAAAGCAAACTGTGAGGTTCATTACGAGCTTGTCTGTGTTAGGTTGTATCACAACACACAAGCACGTTCCCGTTACTGCTGTTAAAATCCTGTCCACATGTGAGTGAGACACAAATCCTTCCGGGTCAACTACGTCTCCGCTACCACCCCGCCCCTGTCTCCAACGTCGCGCTGTGATGACGTAGGCGGATAGCGACGCCCGGCATAGTAGTGCAATTCTCTCTGCGAGAGAACCAACTTTCGCCCGACTGAACTGCCACATCTGCTGCTATTTATTGGTGTTTTTTTATATCCGGTGGCCGCGGGAGAATGTGAACCGCCGGGGGAGACCGTCAGTCGCGGTATAATTCATCTCATTTAGGGTTTGGCTCTTGTTTTAAGGATATTTTTGTGAAACCGAAGAGCTGCAAGAATACACCCACGGCAGTGACAGACCGCGGGAAAATGTCGTTACTTCCTGTGCAATAAAGTCTTGGCGCGACATTACGGTTGTAAACAACAAGAGGACACACAACAATAAGCACGTACAAGTAAGTCAACCAATTCATAGTTAGCTTATAGTAAAACGATGTATTTACGTAAACATCTAGCTGGTGTTTAGGCTCTTAACTGACAGACGGAGCACTTTTCTCCGGTGTAAGTTATACAACCAACTGTTGTTTAAATGTAACTGACCCAACGTTGATGATTAACAACAATAAAATACTAATAATGCAAAAAATTACATTACGATGTTCTAAGAAAAAAAATAGACATGGAGGCATTTTTCATAAAATAAGCCTAAATATCTTAGAGACGGGATGAAGAAATGTGTTAAAACATCCTTCAAGATAAGATTATGAAATAAATGTTAAACAGAGGTTATGTTGGATTGGTCTACATCCTGTCCTTTTTAGCACCTGATTCAAGTGCAAATTTCAGGACAACTTTATAAGTCGTGTGGGGTTGGAGAGTGTAGCAGCTATAGTAATGTTAATGTTTGCTTTAGCCAGGGTGTCAAATGCCAGATTAAAGCCATGGGTAGAAAGTTCAAAATGAAGCAACACATGTTCAGCAAGAACAAAACTAACATTCAGATGAAACTCTGCAGTGTACTGCCTCTTGTCTGAATTTCTGTCTGCTGCTGAAAAGCTTTGTTCTGTGCTCTTTGTTTGGACAGTAGTAAAAACAAAAGGGGTCTAGCTAGACCACGATGTTAAACATGCTAACAACACGGTTAGCCTCAGTTTGTCCACTACAGATAATAGAGCTTACAGTATGTATGGGCAATGTGGACAAATCCTCTGAGATGGCAAATGTAGTTGTTTGTTGCCACAACAATATAAGTTGTGACATAGTTTATCATAGTAAATCTTCAAAGAAAATAAACTGAGAAGCTGTTTCATAAAATAAAAAAAGCAACCTACCTTTTTTTTTTCAAATCCAGCAAATTGAATAACTGACAAATCAAAGTGCTTCATTACGTTGATGCAAAACTTACATATATAACCAAGGTCATATTGCCCAACTCTAATTGTCTGTGTTTTTGATTAGCTTGTATAAACTTTGTTCTTTTGTTCTGTTTTGTAGACTTGGCATTAGCATTTTTTTTTTTCTTTGCATTGTTATCAGGTCCTCCTCAAGAAACTGAGGCGCAGAGATATTTGGAACAATGGAGGACACTGACACCAATGATGCTTCTGGTCGTAAGTATAAGTCTATTATATGCTACATTTAGATTTACATAGTAGTATTTGCGCATTATGAGGAATTCTGGCTTGTATTAAGGCTATCATGCCATATAATGTGTACTGTAGATGTTTCTACCAGTGGCTTCAGGAGGAATGGTGTCACTTAAGTTCTTAGGCACAAAGTGATTATCCAAAATATCCTTTATCCTTTGCTACTTATTGCACTATATTTACTTGCATGCATTCATGCAATTTCATTTTTGTGTCTCAATTCAAAGGGTAAAAATCAATGTGCTATACAGCACCTTAGAAAACTTCCTTAATGTAACAAAAATATAGCATCCATAGCATGTGGGTATGAATGTCGGAGTGATTTTGGACATTTTAAGTCAGGACTTATGTGGAAGAAGGGTTTATTATAACTGATGACATGCATTTATATTGTAACACATGTATGATATCCACAGTGTTGGTACCTGATGGTCATGAAGATTCTGTGGATATCTACGATGGCCTGGATGATGGTTTTAGCAGCAATGCAGGTAAAAATCCTCCATGAGATAGTTTCAATATTAGCACAGTTAGACAGAGACAGTCCATGACAAATGAATTTGTTCATCATTGAGGCTGACTGACAATCTTATTTCTTGTCTTATTTTGGTTCATCACAGAGAAGTTGCCTCCAAGTGCTTCTGAGCTGAAAGACTCGATGGATCTCTATGAAGAAATTGTCACAGAGGAACAGCAGAGCAGGGAGACGTCGTACACTGAGGTGAGTGGCTGTGTGCTCCGTGCTTCCTTTCTCTCTGTCATACTAGACCTTTCTTACTGAAGCAGAGGCCTGAGATAAACCTGTGTTTGTTGCTGTTGGTGTGCAGAGATCAATACACTTGTTTTGTTTTTTTGCTTTGCTCTGAAGCCTTTTTGCCACCCGGGGTTTTTGCAGGCTGGACAATGCGTAGCTGTGATATCTGAGCTGTGAATAGGTTGTTGTCGGTTGTTAGTTGCTACAGGATTAAGTCAGTAACCCGATAATAAATACAGACTTTTCTTTTTGTGTGTTTACAGTTGAAGTCCAGATTCCAAGCAGCTCAAAACCAAATCAAAGAGCTGCGCAGGAGACTGGAGCAGGTGGAGATGCAGGTTTGTTTTGTTTTCCTTATTTCTTAGCTGCTGAAAAGTATTAAGATTTATATGAAGAATAGATTATTGTATACTTTTTAACTAACTACTAATTTTAATAGTCGTACACTATCTGTTATGTAGACTGGCCACAAGCAAAAACTTATTTCGAGACAAAAACAGATACACGTTTTTACTGACAGACAGTTGGGAGGTATTAGTCACCCATGGACCCTGGAGTAGAAACCTGGGCATTCCAGTAAAGATCAATGTCAAAATCCACTTCAACTAAAAATTCACCAGCACTAACGTGGTTTTTCTGTCTCTCTCTGTCTCTCTCTGTCTCTCTCTCGTTCTCTCTCTAGAACACAGGGTTAAACACTGAGAACTGCCGTCTCAAGAAGAACATCTCTGCACTTCTACGAACAGCCAGACAGGAAGTGACAAGAAAAGATGCTGAGATTCAGAGGTTGAATCAATGGTATGTTTTTTTTAAATAAATAATAAATAATTGGCGACTCACTATAACTTTCTGTTTTACAATGACATGTTGGTCTGTAGGTTAATGTAATTGTAAAATACGTTCAAGCCTAAATCAGTTCTTAAAACTTTGTCTTCCGCAGGTCAGAGAAAGGTCGCCATCATCATCAGTCTCACAATAATCTGCGGGACCAGACCTCCTCCAGTTGGACCTCAACAGGCACCTCCAGCAGCAGGCCACCTCCTCCACCGCCCTCCAGTCTTCCACCTCCTCCTCCTCCTCCTCTTCCTCCCCCATCCAGTGCTCCGCCTCCTCCACGTCCACTGACTTCATCTCCCAGGGAGATCCAGCCTTCAAGGGGTCCTCCTCATCCTTCAAGGACAGAAAGTAACAGTTCGACCAATCACCCCGCTGGCTCCTGCATTGAGACAAAAGCCTCTAAAGCATCTTCTCACAGTCATTCAAAAAGCTCTTCAAGAGCAAACTGTGACAAACAGACTGAGCACTCTCTCAGTAAATTCAGCAGCAACTCATCGACCCAGCAGAGCGATTCAGACAAACACAAGTCCAAGCACAGAGAGGAAAAATATCAAAGTCATAAGCTGTCTGATTCAATAGATAGGCGACCTAGAAATGGTTCATATCCCAACAAGGACTTTCATGCCGCTGAGAAAAGCGGGTCTCATAAAGTGGACAAAGACGCAGGACGAAAGCATGACTCCAGGTCCGGTAAAAGCAGGAACTACCTAAATGATGAGGGGCACCGTAGATCAGACAGGACTAAAAGCCCTCCACCAAACTCCTCACACAGTGCAGCTTCCTCTGATGACACGAAAGGGAGAAGTCGACAAGACAAAGCTAAACTGGCCACACCAGAGTCTGTACAGAGTGACTCTCGCAGCTCTAAAGAAGTCCACAGCCGGGATCATAAAAGAATCAGGACGAGTGACAGGCATAGCAGAAGTTCAGACTCAAAGGACCGGAAAAAGTCCTCTTCAAATCAACATGCCGAGCGCCACGCTGATTCCTCCAAAGAGAGGGAAGGAGAGCGACTTTCAAAGGATCATCAAAGGAAGGAAGAGAGACGGGAAGACGAAATCAGCCGAAAACACAACAGGAGCACAAGCAGAGAACGCGAGAAGCGGAGATTAAAAGAATCGGACCAAGGCAAAGTGGATGTCCGCAGTAAGGAAAGACAGGAAAAGACACACGAGGCCTTAAAAAGATCATCTAAAGAACCACATATCACTGTGAAAAGCTCTGTGGAGGAAAATAGTCCAAACAGGAAACTCTGTTTCATGGAAACATTGAATCTAACCCTTTCACCAATTAAGAAGCCGACGTTACCCTTCGATGCCACCCAGGACGACCTCACTCCAGCGGACGAGGCAGTAGAAAACAGACCGGAGAATGAGAGTCTGCAATCTTTGTGTGTCGAAGACATGTGTGTCGTTGACGAAGTAGACAGCAGTGAACTGGAAGCAGGGTTCAAAGATGTTGCAGAGCAGTCTTCAGATATCCCCAAAGATTCAGGCTGTGAAAGGACACACAAGAGGTGTGATGATGCAAAAGACGTCCAGGAAGAGGACAAGAATGACCTTAGTGAAGCTGCAGCTGGCGAACAGCTCGAAGACAGCACAGTCCAAACTACCTCAGCACAAATCCAGCCAATTCAGACAACTGTGCATCTCGCACCAAAATCACCAGAGAGTGTTTCTCTAAAAGCAGCAGAAGAGGACATTTCAACCAATCTTGCCTCAGACAGGGAGGTAGGTAAATCTGTTCCACAGGAAGCGACAGACGGCGTCACTGACGTTTCCAAACAACACACGAGCAAGTCTTTACCAAAGGTGAACCCGGGAAATAATACCGAGCAAACTGTTATCCCCGACCCCGTTGTGCTTGAGTCAAAGGTGGAGCCTCTGAAAACCTCAGTACAGAAAAGCTTCCCCGTGGATTCAGTTAAAGGAGGTGCAACTGCTTCGCCCTCGAAGGAAAATCCAGTAGCTGACGATGTTCCCAAAAGTTCTCCCAGTACTTTACCACAGGACTGTCAGAAAGGTCTGCATCCTCCTGCTTCAGTCAGCCCCCTTCATAAGAAAGATGCTTGCCAGAAGCAAGGTAGTCCTAAAGATACGGATGCTGTATCCAGCACAATAAGCCTGGAATCACTTCCTCAGGAAGGGCTGAGTTTACCCGAGGCTATTTACGTTTTAACGCAGACAAACGAAGAGGCCAGCGACAGCAGTAGCATCACAGCTGAGCCGAGCTCCTCCAGCGGCTGCATCGGTGTGTCCAAAGTCAGCAGCACGACAGAGGAGACGCCGCCGCCGGAAAAGTACAGTGACCTCACGTTCACGCCAAAAAAGAGCTTCAGTCCTGGGAAGAGTCACGAGAATAACGCGGAGCCTTCCAGTTCGGTGCCGTTACTTCACGACGAGGACTCCATGATGCGCACGCTGAGCAATCTCAAGAGAATCCCTGACGCCATAAGCCCCCTGAGGAGCCCGATACGGATCGCCAAGAGAAGCCATCTCCATCTTCACGCCAAGCCGGGTCATGTCAAGAGCCTTCAGAAAGGTAATGTAAGCCTGATGATAATGTCGTGTCAAGTTTTACATTCACACAGATTAGAGTGGATTGTTTTGGGCCTGTTAACTTGTAATCACAGCTTCATTATTATTTCTCAGGCAGGCAAATTAGGATGGTTATTCTTTGACTTTGACTTTGTGTGTGCATCGTTGACATATTACTGGTAATGCAACTCTTTAACATAACTGACATCAGTTTTATTCCAGTGCTTCAAACCAAGGAGGTAATAAATGCAAATTACATTTGCAGGTTCTGTCATCATAGTTCTGTCATGGTCTGTCATTTAGAAAGGCAGCGAGTGTTAATCTCATTTCCTTTTCTCTTTCTAATTCATGAATTACAGATCTCATAAATACAAGATGCAGATTTACAAGACAGATCTTGTAATAAAAAGATTGATTTTCCATGATTATGAGATGCTAGGCCATAATTCCTAGAACATGTAAGTCTTTAAAAATGTCTTTTCTCTCTCATTTTCCTCTGCAGATTTCTCGAGCACAGCCGTCGATGTCAACTCAAAGAAGTTGGATGTAAACAAAGAGAACAAATATCCAGGTTCTCCTGCAAACCATGACACGCAAAACATGGCGGACAAGGTATCCGACCTGCACCCGCGTCTCTCTGACACTGAACTGGAGGAAGGGGAAATTTTAAGCGAAAGCGATGAGGCGGCTGCAGGATCCCCTGTTCCTGCAAACAAGAGGGCGAAGTTAACACGGGCAGTCAGAAATAAACCAAGTCCTCAGTCTGTGCTCAAGAGGAAATCTGAAGACAGGTGTGTTGCTGTGAAGGAAGCTAGTGAATCGCCAGGTTCATCAACACGAAGCCCGAAGAGTCGTTTTAAAACCGTTTGCCCTGCAGCAACCAAAGCGTCTTTTTCCAACATAGAGGAAATAATGGAGACGTTCAAGCTGGTTCGCACAGAGATCCGAAAAAAGTACATGAAGCTTCATAAAACGTTTCCCAGGAAGAGCTTCTACGGCATGATGGAGAATTTCCAGGAGTCTTTTTTAGAGTTTGTGGACGGCGCCCACTTCGGTCAAATATGCGGTCAGGCAGAGGAGCTGAAGTCCAAGCTGAAGAAACTCGTCGCATCCGTGTTCAGCAAAGTATCGAACAACGGTATAGTGAAGCGCATCTTTGAGCAGCAAGCGGTGGATCTGAAGCAAAAGTTGTGGGACTTTGTGGATGTCCAAGTGGACTATCTGTTCAAGGACATTCACACGACACTCAAGAGCCTTTGCAAACCAGCGAGAGCTCAGGCCGAGGAGAAGAGGCCCAGCGGGAGTGAGAGCGTATCCAGACAGCCCTCTGTAAAGAATCCACAGCTTCAGCAGAAGGAAGCGCAGTCTGCTGCAGCCAGCCTGAATCAAGTCAAGCCTTGCGCTGTGGTGCCGTACAAAACGGGGCTCGGAAGCAGAGGCAAAGATATCAGGATCACACACGTGGAAAAAAACTCGCATCCAACAGACTGCCTAAATACACAAACTGTAATTGACTTCCTTCCTCCTAAAAACATCTCCTCAACTCCAGAGAAAAACAGCATGACCTCTTTGGTTGTCTCTCAAAGCGGCTCTTTGCTCGACAAAACCGACTTCGAGCTCCTCACAGAGCAGCAAGCCTCCAGTTTAACCTTCAACCTGGTGCGGGACTCTCAAATGGGAGAAATCTTCAAATGTCTCCTCCAAGGATCAGACTTATTAGAAACCAGCGGCATGACGGCAGACAGCGCGACCTGGTCGCTCGGTACTCCGAGGAAGGACGGAGAGAGACTCATCAGCATCACCACTCCGCCTAAATTCAGCTCTCCATCTAAACTGCTTTCCCCGACCAAATTTAACACACCCTCCAAACTTATCGCCACGTGGTCCAGCATTTCACCTCGCAAGATGTCGTCCCCGCGATCAAAAGATCCGATCCCGCTGAACCCGGCTTTATTTGATGAAAGTTGCTTGTTGGAAGTGCCGTCAGAGAGCAGAGCGATGCTGCCGTCTGGCTTGGCTGCACAACGGTCTTACTCCATTCTTACCGAAGATCTGGCGGTCTCCCTCACCATCCCGTCACCCCTGAAGTCCGACAGCCACCTCAGCTTCCTGCAGCCGTCGAGCATGTCAAGCATGCACATCATGTCCACCCCGGACAGCGTCATCAGCGCACACATAAGCGAGGATGCTCTGATGGACGGGGAGGACGCCACGGAGCAGGACATACACCTCGCCCTCGACACGGACAACTCCAGCTGCGGCTCCAGCAGCAGCGTGGGCTCGGTGGCGCTCGCCACGTCTTTCACTTTCAAGCCAGACTTGCCCATGCAGGCGCTGGTGATGGAAAAGTCCAACGATCACTTCATCGTGAAGATTCGCCAGACGGCCACAAGCACAAACAGCACGCTCCTTGCTGATGAGAGCTTGAGTCAAACACTAACAGAGGAGGATCAGCCACACGGAGAAGAGGACGTCGCAACTCCAGGAAGTCGAGCAAAAGCTATTTTGTCAAATGAGCCACAGAACAGAAGCACCGCTTCATGTGCCGTACCATCAGAGAGCAGTCTGTCGAACTTTGCTGAAAGCTCCGGGATCTGTCAGGCTGCCACTGGATCAGGGAGCTGTCTCACCCAAGATGAAGGCTTAACACTAACTAAAGATTCGTGCCACAACAAAGAAGATAAGTCGGCTCAACAGAGCACCTCAAATTACTGCTTTTCTCAGGAGTCGCAGAAACTGCCAGAGTCTCTTCCTTTAATTCCTCCTTCAGAGAACAGTTTGCACAGTGGTGCTCAAAGCTCTGATCATCTCCAGGCAACCACTGGAGAAGGTGTCACCGCTGATGAGAACGCAAGTCAAACACGCCGCGAAGAAGACGGCGCGCAAACTCAAAAAAATCCCTCCAAAGCTCGGAAAAGGATGAGTCCCTCTAAACCTGCGGTGTCAGATAATAGTCCTCATCGTCCTACTGAAATCTGTGAAGCGAATCAAAGGAGCCGAGCTTCACCGTCAGACTCGCAGAGAGAAGGGACGGAGGTGTCGGAGTCCGACAGAAGTCTCACCATCGCAGAGGACACGGGCAGCACGCCAGAGAAAGACCGGAGGGATTCTGACAAAGGTAGAAAAAGGAAGAAGCATCAGGATAAATTGAAAGCAAAGCGGCCCAGAAAGGAGGTGGAGATCACAGAGGAGAGGGAGTCTGACTCCAAGCAAGAGGAGACGGATAACGAGTCCAAATCCCCCTCAGAGCCGCTGTCCCCCAACAGTCTCTCCGCCAAGAATGTTGTGAGGAAGAAAGGCGAGGTGGTGATGGCATGGACAAGGTCAGTAGCTGATTCTGTATTGTACTACTACACCCCCCCCCCACACACACACACACACACACACACACACACACACAGAAATTTGTGAGTGAAAGAATGATTACATCTTAAGCGAGTCCCCACATTATTTGCAGTATCTCGTGATCTTCTACAGTCCTCCATAATATTTGAGCAAAAATTTTTCAAATTTCACAATTTTGCATTTTTCTCTGCATTAAAAGAATACTAAGATAGAAACTCTGACTCTTGCAGACCAAATATAACTTTTGCTTTTGCTGTTTTACTCGTCTTCAACTGTCATAAAAGAAAAAAGAAAAAGAGCGCCCTTTATACAGCGAACCTCGTCTACAGCTGCCAGGTTCCTGCGTACGTTGGAGCATCCAGCGTGTAAATGAAAAGCTGCTGCTGTGGCTCTGTTTTCATTGAATAATGGCTACACAGCAACATTTGGGACAGGGCAAGTGAGCTGGACGGGCTAACTCGCCACTGAAATGGCAGGGGGAATCATCGCTGTCTGGTGGCTCTTGCGATTGGTGCTTTAAATCCACAAGCGTTGGTGCACAAATGCTGCGGTTGTTTCCACAGACTGCTCTCCCTTTGTGGAGTTTATTTTGGGCCACAATATTCAAACACATGGGACTGTTCTTTAATATTTGTGTAGGAGGCACTGTAAGAATGTGGTTACATGTGAAGATGTTGTGATGAGGAGGATCACCGCTCATTGCCTTTTATTCTTCTTGCAGAGATGAAGATCGAGCCATTCTGGTTGAGCTCAAGACAAAAGGCGCTTCACGTGAGACGTTCTCTGCCTTGTCGGAAAAACTCAATAAACCATCAGGGCAGGTAAGTTTGTCTCTAGTTTTTTTTTGTTGCACTATGATATGCAACAGACACAGGCTGCGATGAAGGAACATCCAATAACTGTTTCCTCCCTCTCCTCAGATTGCTCACAGATTTTACCAGCTCATGAAGCTTTTTAAGAAGCAGGAGAAGATGGACACCTGATCCCTCGCACTGTTGTGCTTCGTTTCATGCAAATAGTTCTTGTATCAGAGCGTTTCCATACACCTCCTGTAGCTCCGACACAGGTATGTTGGCTGCTGTTCGTGTGACGTAGCGAAGGAAGGTGTGAACGCAGGGGCGGCTGCGGACGATCGGGTTGGGTCACATGGATCCGCACATCGATTGCTGTGTCCAGCAAGACCTGATGGTCTTCAACAAGGACAGCAGTATCAGCCAAGCATTATTTTTCAAAGGAAGGTTGGAAATCCAGTGACTGACTGTGGAGAGAGTTTTGTTCTGGATGATGAGCTGAACCTGTTAATTCTGTCTGAAAAGAATTCAAAGGATGACGCACAACTGACACGATAAATATATAAAGGATTAAACATCCACTCACTATAAATACAGTCAACATCAGTGTTATTGTTCTTGATGCACTTTTGGTTTTTAGTAATCCACACTGCAACCACTACTTCACTAATCAGTTCTGCATATATGCTGATGTCTGGTCCTCACAGAAACATACGACTCCCGTCTCCTGACATATCGCAAAAATGTTCATCTCAGCTAGACCTCAAGTTAATGTTACATCTAGTCCTCAATGTCCGGTTTTCTCAAAATAGGAAAAACTGGGATAGTTATTGGTTTCAGTGCAAGTATACTCGATGTTTTCTAAATCAGGTGACATTTTTATTCCCTAAAATTGGCGGACAAGCACTGGAGCCAATCTGAGACTTCACCGAGACCTTGACCTATAGGACTGAGAGTTTGGGCCATTTATCATTAGCCTCGGATATTTTGGATGTTATTTTAATGGTAGTATTGTAGGGGGGGGGGGTTTGCGGGCGGTGCTTGAAATGTTTAATGGTTAAAATGATTACATGTCCAAATACATGTAGAGGACGGTACATTTGTCTCTGTTAATACGAATTAAAACTTTTAAACAGCATTTTGTTTGACTCACCCTATTGCTCATAAACAGCATGGAATGCAATATTGTTAATATTGTACATAATTCTTTATTGAAAATAAAGTTTTATTTATTTATTCTGGTGTCTGCTTTTATTACCTTTTTTGAATTTGGAAATTGTGCAAATTAATTTTGCTAACTTGGGGAAATAAAACATCTACAGCAGCTGGTAGCAGTGGAAGACGATCCGCATTCACCATGACACAAATATTGATGAAGTGGGCCACAAAGTATGGAAATTGAGGCCATTGCCCTGGGGCCCCGTTTATAACCAGCAGACCAGACAGTGGCATAAAGCGGAGCAAACACAGATGGTGCAAGAATTTATTGTGCCAAATTTTTGGATGAACTTCTCATACTTCACCATCTGACTAAATATACTACTCATTGTTATTCACACATAACCACAGATGAGTTATTGATTACATGTCAGGCAGGAAAATTGAAGTCATTCTAAATATAAATTAAAGCTAGTAGTTTTTACCTAGTTCTAATATCTGACCATTTTACTTCAGAAGAAGTAGATCCTCAAGTAAAAGTACTAATAGTGCAATGTGAAATAAACCATAACAAATAAAAGTCCTGGTTTCAAATTTCTACTTTATTAAAAGTATATAAGTATTAACACCATAATGTATTAATAATATCAAAAGTAAATGTATATAAAAGTATATTAAAAGTATAAAATTGTGATGTAGTGAGGACACACTTTCACTGTCACAGACACTGAAGTTTGACACAATCAAATACAAACTGATACAAATACAAAACAAATGTGACATATGAGCCTTTCATTTAGTCAAAATTGCTTTCAAATTAATGAACTGTATGTTTATGAACGTTGTGATTATTATTTATTAGTAACTTCAACTTCGTGCAGAGCTGCTGTTGGACTTATACTTGCAGTTTAGCTTCACTTACAGCTGCAGTTGATTGATTTTTGCTGCTGTTTGTGGACTTCATGCTGGTTCACTCTGTGTGTAAATGTATCTTTTAATTAAACAGCGTGTTATGTAATCTGATTCCATCCTGCATCTAAGGGAAGGGCTGGCGTGGGGCAAATAGAAGGAAATTAACAAACGCCGTTCAGGCCCACCGCCAGAACCGTAATGGCCGTCGAGCATATGTCCTGTGCTTCAGGCCTGGTTGCGGGTTGTTGGACTCCGAAAACCAGAGAAGCGGTTTGGCCAAAACTGAATACGTTACATATACTGTACATACATGTATACATACATGTGTAGGGCAGTGGCCTAAATAAGCCACTGAGTGTCACAGTTGCGATGTTTATTTCCAGGTGAATCCCGGCTTTGGTGTTGTTTGGCCGCTGTGGGACACCGTAGTTTTAAGTTGCGTTCCGCGCGGGAAACCATTTTGGTTTAATGTTTTCTTTTCTCCCGGTGCAAGGGAAGCGATGTTAACTGCAGCCTACATCATCTTAAAAAACAGCTTAGTTTAAATCACACTTCCAGTCCGCCTGTTAAACTTTTATGTAAACAACACGCTAGTTAACAGTTTGCCATGGGTCTGAGTCGTGAGCATTTGTATTTCCCGTCTTAAGGTTGTTTGTAATATTAGCTAGCCGGTTAGCTTTCCGTTCGTCACTGATCTGGTTGGTTACGGGTAGGCACGCTATTCATCTGCTAGTTACTTTAGCTCAGCCGTTAGTGATGGCTTCTCTCTGTCTCTTGCTCGGTGTTTTTGAAACTTATTTTGAAAACTTATGTCGGGACTGCATTTCCTCTTTCATCCCCGAGCGCAGTGTAGCCGGGTGTTTTACAGCAGGTCTGTGCTGGACAGGTGGGCAAGCTAGCCGCGTCCCCCTCAATTAGCATTAGCATTAATATTAGCAGCTGGCTTACTGGCATTGTTCACTGATGAATGAATTAAACGATTTCATTGTAAGATTGCAAAATAACCTATAAAAAGTGACTGGGTACTTTCTAAATGCACTGTATGTCTAATTGATCTGTCAAACAGACATCTCTTAGTATTCTTTCCCAACAGGTGATTCCCACCAGGGAGTTTTCCCAAGGATGAGCTGTAAATTCAGGCAAGTTTATCAGAGTTTATGTTCTTACAGCTGCTATCATACCACTGCTGTGTGTGTATTAAATTCACACATAAATATTAACATTTAAAACCTTTCTCTTCCTTTTAGTTTTTGCACATCAAACACATGGAATTATCTACAACACACTCTCCTAGATCGACATGCTCACTACGCCTGGACAATTCAAAATGATGATCTTCATTGCAAATGAGGGAAACCACAAGGTTGAAAAGCAAACCAACCACAAAACAACCCAAAACCCAGAACAAGGTACAAGGTCAGTGGTGTCCACATATCTTTGGTCATATCATATACATTATAAACAATAAAGCAAAAATGAAAACATTGTCCATGGCTGCATATTGACATTTCAGTTTGTGCTATTTCCAGTGTTGTGTCCTGTTAAAAGTTGCAGGGTGAAACCAACCTCAGGGCATTATAGGGTCATGTGGTGGATCAATCACTTCAAACTGGAGCCCTACTTTGCCACAGCAGTGAAATAGTGTCAGCTACACTGCACAGTGGGGTCTCGTCTGTCTTCAGGGGATGACAGTTGAGCCCCATTGTCCCACTAATAAATCTGCTCTTTTTATAATGGCTTCACACTAAAGCACATGAGACAAGGACCCTGACAAATGTAAGTAAAACATCTTTATTGCATTTTAACTTTTAACATTTGATAAAAGATGTACAAATTTATCGTTTTTTTTTATTTTTTTTTATTCACCCACAGATAATTATTCTAATAATGTGACAGAAGATGGGGGATTGGAACTTATTAGGGAGTATCTTAGAAGAGGTCCACATCCATTCCACCATTGTGGGGAAGATCTGGCTCACCATCCTCTTCATTTTCCGGATGCTTGTGCTCGGTGTTGCAGCCGAGGACGTCTGGGATGATGAGCAGAGCGAGTTTGTTTGCAACACGGAGCAACCGGGCTGCAAGAACGTCTGCTACGACCAGGCCTTCCCCATCTCCCTCATCCGCTACTGGGTCCTTCAGATCATCTTCGTGTCCTCTCCGTCTCTGGTCTACATGGGTCATGCCTTATACCGTCTGAGGACCCTTGAGAAAGAGAGGCACAAGAAAAAAGCCTGTCTGAAAGCCGAGCTGGAGGGGACAGACCCCATCCAGGAGGACCATAAAAGAATTGAGCGAGAGCTCAGGAAACTAGATGAACAGAAGAAAGTAAGGAAGGCTCCCCTCAGAGGCTCCTTGCTGCGTACATATGTTTTCCATATCTTGACTAGATCTGTGGTGGAGGTGGGTTTCATTATAGGTCAGTGTGCTCTGTACGGCATCAGGCTTTCTCCTCTCTACAAATGTGAGAGGTTACCTTGCCCCAACAGTGTGGACTGTTTTGTGTCACGACCAACAGAGAAGAACATCTTCATGATCTTCATGCTGGTGATCGCTGGAGTTTCTTTATTTCTCAACCTCCTGGAGATTTTCCACCTGGGGGTGAAGAAGATCAAACAAAGCTTGTACGGATACAAATATGGAGACGATGACAGTGTGTACAGGTCAAAGAAAAACTCCATGGTGCAGCAGGTTTGCGTGCTCACCAACTCCTCACCACAGAGGTTGATGCAGCTCACACATATGACCTGCTCTATTGTGCCTGATAATCAAGGGGAAACTCCGCCTTTGAATTTGCCCCCGATGGCCCCTCAGAATCAGGGGCAGTCCAATAGTTCCAATCAGCAGCCTGCACAGAGCCACGCTGACATCCAGGGTCTGCAGCAGCTGGGGGCTGTGGACCGACGCTACACTCTGGAGAGCAGGAAACCCTCATGCAGCAGCGATGAGTCAAACGGACCTCATGGCTCAGGCCAACCGCAGTACACGGGACCTCGACCCACGCTGATGGCCGGCCACATGGAGATCCCAGCAGCCCTGAAGAACCCGCAGAGGAAGCAGAGCAGAGTCAGTATTTGTAAGGAGCTCAGTGACATGAGTGATTCTCCCGAGAGCGACCACTACCCCACAGCCAGAAAGTGCAGTTTTATGTCCAGAGGAATGTCAGAGGGAAAGCTGGCCACTCCTTTTGACAGTGCCGACTCTCAGAGTGGAACAGACACCGAGGCCCAGCACCTCAACCAGGGAGAGAGTCCAGTGATGACCCCGCCGCCTCCAGCCGGTGGGAGGAGGATGTCCATGGTAAGAACATGTTTTTATCTTGCACCCTATCCTAAAGCAACAAATGTCACTGCATGGCTATCTGATGAGTTTAGATGAATATCTCAGTGAAGATGTGGAGTCAATTTAAATGTAATTTTACTAAACAAAAACAGTTTTCACTGTGGAAGATTTAAAATGCCAAAAAACAAGCAAATTAAAACAAAGACATAAAGTCAACACAAGTACACATTGTTATATGTATGGCTGCCATCGGCGTGTTTCAGTGACAGTAAGCTCTGACCCCAGGCTGATTGGACAGTTGATTGCTCTCCGTTTTGGACAACACATCTCCATCTCCAAAAGAGAAAAAGCTCCCTTATATCTCCTTATGAAAACTAGTAACAGCACTTTGTATTTACTATTAAAGGTCCCATTTAAAAAAAAAAAAAAAAAAAAAAGGTAGATGTCCATGTGTTCATGTTTTTTGGTTCTTAAAACCCCAATATATCTTCTTATGAACACTTTTAATAAAACATAAATGTGTATCTCTTCACTTCCTTTTCTTTATTGTGATTTTAATGTTGCATGTATTAAATTGAATGCAAAAAGCTGAATAATTATGTTTTTCATGTAATTATGACACAGTAAATGCATACTTAAAATGAATTACATATAACAATGTGTATTGTACTGATTTGTTTCCATTTAGTCATTTTAAATCTTCTATATTCACTCCCCTCTCTTGTTGACACTTGTAGGTCTGTTTCACCCTTGACTGCTCTCTGGTGGGTGTGGTTGGATGTGGTCAGCATTGTGCTCCATTGCACCTGTAACCACACCCACCAGTGATGTCACGGTGTACTGACATACCTTGGTGTTTGCTTCTTACATCGGTGCATCAGGGTGACAAGTTTAAACCACAGGAGGTCCGATGCTGCTGGTGAGAGGAATGTGTTTGTGTCTGTGACTTGAATAATAACCACCTTTCTTTCTTTCAGAGTATGATTCTGGAGCTGTCTTCAATCATGAAAAAGTAAACTGAAGATGACTGTTTTGGGACCAAGCCAGAGACATAAGTCATAATGCGACTGAAGGATCCTGATCGCAAAGCAAATCTCATCCTGTCTCTCAACTGCAACTTTATGTTTTCACAGTTTATACAGTATGTATTGTGCATGAACAAAAGCTTCGGTTAAATATGTCAACACGTCATTCCACAGACAAAAGATGCTTAATAATTTGCTTCAGGTTCTGTACCAATGATATCTCCAGCATCTTTTATACTGACAGTTTGAAAGTTTTATTTGCGGTTTAGGGTTGAATTGTGTTTTTTTTGTTTTTTTTTTTGAGACCACAAATCAAATATGATTCAAAATTACATTTGGCTCAAAGCACATGTGACTGCTCATAAAATGAGACCAAGAGTAAATATATTTGACAGAAGATTGTAATTAAAGATTGTGGAATTGGCAACCACAAAAACCAGTGTTTATGGTTTATCATACAGAAAGAGCTGCAGAAAAAAGGGATCTTCAAATTCAAAGTTTCGTTTTGACAGAGTAGCCTAATATTGTTTATGAATATATCTGACAAACTTAAGATGTTGTTGCAAATATTTCTGTTGTCCTGTTGTTGTTTTTTTTTCTATTAAACCCTTTTTCCTCTTCAGCAGGACTGAACTGTCTTGTCTAACCAGTGTGTTGTTTATAGTCACTTCAATGAAGCATGAACATGGCGATCTCAGCCACCTCTGTACCTCTGCAAAACTTTGTCCACAGCAAGATATCTCATCTCTGCTGGGTAGGTAAATTATAAATTCATTTTTAATTAATTCAGTATTTCTTATATATTCAATAAATGGAACTGACCAACATTTTATCATGTTTTTGAAAAAAAACCTTCACAAAACACAAAATGTGATATGCATGTTTCTTTATTTCATAAAGAGAAATGGTGTCTAGACAAAAAAGTTGTTTAGATAACACTAGCAATTGAAATTAATGAAAATTGGGTTTGCACAATACTGTATTTACAATGGTTATTGAAGTCATTTTAATTAATTAGGGTCATGTAGCATTTAAAAATTATAAAGGTAAGAACTCTTAGTAGAGAATAAGCAAATAACAGCTATTTCAAATTGACAATATTAACACAAAACAGTCATCTAGAAAAATGAAAGAAAAAAACAACAACTTGAACTACAAGCTTAAGAGCTATTACATTAAAAATGATGCACCAAAATCGACTAATACAATAATCCATATAATCTGTGTAAAAAGCATGTAGAAAAAACACCTGATGCAGTTTGCTGATACAGTCATTGACCAGTTATGAGAGGTATGAAGGATTTCACAGGTAGATAAGTGTGAGAAAGTCCGCACTGGTGACTTGGGGATGGGGGCCCAGGCCCCTGTATACACTCACTTCACTTGAATGTGAACTATGGCCTCTGCACGTTCTAAGGCAAATATCGGAGGTGCACTTGTATTCATATAATGCTAACCCATCCCGAAAGTTGGATTAAAGACAAGGTGAGGAAACTCATTCTTTGTCTCTTTACACAACACCAAGAACCAGTCGAATTGAACCAAGTGATTTTTACATGGCAAAAATCAATCATACATGACATGACACCTATTTGTAAACATATTCCGTTTTTCATATTTTATCTTCAATGATCTCGACCTGCGCATTCAACCAGGATACCAGATTTTTTTTTTTTTTTTTTTTCTCAATAAAGTTGAGCAGTCTGTGAGAAAGGCATGATTTTGTTCATATTCTTTTATAGAACAACCTTTGGAGTTGAAAAGCCAGTGTTTGTTTCAGAGAAGCAGCAGCAAAAAAAAGTTAAACTTAAAAAAAAAAAGAAGACAAATACACAGCAAAAAAGGTAAGAGCATCCAATTACAGAGTTACAGCAACAGCAAAATTGTTCACTTAAATCAACCTGTTGTAATGGCTATCAAATAAAAAAGTGCCTGGCCTGCACAAAATAGCCTGAAAGACTCCTCATATATAAGAATCAAATTCATTATGTCATTTTAGGTGTTTTTTTATGCTCGTAATTACTTATTTTATCATTTTAAAATCAATATTTGCATACGAAAAATGAATCAGATGACTGTGTGCAATGTGTGGGGTCGAACGTAGTGACGAACCAGTAAATAATTACACAGACCCTGCACTTCCCTTCAGCCCTGCAAAGTTTTTCAGCCTCTTTTAGCTTTACAACCAGAAAACTCAGTTTCAATCTCATTTCCAGTAGCAGCAGTTTGCTGCTTTTAAGCTAAAAGAAAAAAAAGGTCTGATACACTCATTGTGTGCTACATTCCCACCACCAAATGGCAGACATGCAGAGTTATGACTGTTTCTTATAAACTTGTAAATAACCAACTGTTTGCTGACACATTAGCCATACCAACCATATATGGTGATAATAAGCAAATGCAGGTGGTTCTGCTGCCCCCAAGTGGCCGATACTAGTTAATCGATTAATTCAGCTTTAAACGATATTAACAAATCATTTTTAAACATCATCTTCTGAGCAGATTTAAATATCTGAGCCACTCAAGGGTCAGTTCACCTAAATGACAAAAATCATGTTTCAATACTAAGTAGCTTTGGTGTCATTTGGCAAAGCTTTTAAGAGTGTTTGAAAGTTCTGCCGATACCACAATTCAATGGAGTTTTCATTGGAACTACCAAAGGCTTAGGGCACTGTTCATGAAATGAGATGCTGCTGTTGATTTTTTTTTGTTTTTTCAGTGATTTGAGCACCATGAACAAAATTCCTCCATTGTCCATTGTATTAGAGTGGATGCAGAAATCTCAAGAGACATGTCTCCCAAAACCTGGACATCTGCATGGCTAGATGCCACCAGAGGTAAGTGACATTTCAATGAACTGACCCTTTAAACAGCAGTGGAAATAATAGTCTACAGGGTGTAAACCAGACATTTTTAAAGGAATAATTAAGATGTTGACATTGCTGATGTTAACACCATCTCACCATTGAGGCTGAGGATGGATGGAGAATCATAGTTTGACTGAAACAGTCGGTACTGGAGCATGCAGCAAGACTCAAAGAGCTCAGAGGTCTCCTGACTTGAGAGTATAATTCAGGGATGTCTGTTCGCTTCATCCTCTATGATAATCTAAGGGCACGTTATGTTGAATTAGCAACATACATTATGTATCTTCGGGTGACAGAAATTCTGCTATGCATAAACAAGAATGTCACTGTGGTGTTATTACACATCTGAAGAGATGCCCAGGGTCCTTTGTTACAATAGTTACGCTACAACACAAACTTCATGAATTCATTTTTCTCCAAACAGAAAAAAAAAAAAACATAAAACCAAAGAGTCTGTGCTCTCCAATGAAACACCAGGGTTCCTCGATTTAAGGTCAAGCACACAAATAGAAAACGTTGCATATTGTTTGCGGAGAAGAAGCGTCTGTAACGTAAAGTGTTCCACTTTAATTTTCTGGCTTTAACCTGGTAGAATCTCCACGTGGGTAAATACTGTTCTGCTTCAGTAAATATGTGCACAAGAATGAAAAAGAGCTCAAACGGTAAAAAGGGCTGAACAAACAGGAGAAACCACACCAGTCGACGAAGAATTACTACCGCTCCGCGCTCAGGCTGTGCCACAATGTAAGTACTGTGTGTGTATTTGTATGAATATACTGTATGTGTCTGTATGCATGTGTTTTGTGCATGTGCGGGTCTATGTACTCTACAATATAGAGACCAGTCTTAACATTTTTAAAGACAGGTTTGTAAAATACACTTAAGAGTTACTCTGTTCGGCTGTATCAGAAAAACAGTCTCACGTGAGATTATACGCTAAACTACTGTTTTAAACTCTAAAATTTACATCAGTAAAAGTCAGGGGGTAGAACTTCAAAATGTTTTTATCCAAACTTTAAAGCCCCAATCCGAAACACTCCCAGCATCCCACCTGATGCACCCGAATAAAATCACAAAATTGAGTGAGGAAGTAGGTGGGTGTCAGGGGGTGTGGCTAATTGCTATCTTAGTAGCACCCACATTTTTCCTGGTGTTTTCTATCCATATTCTTTAGATCAATTATTATTAGAATTAGAGCCTTTTGTGATTTTAACAACATATTGTTTAGCAAATTTTTGTTGCTAGTCTGCATTTTTTAGTAATACAGTAACATTACAAATGTTTTCTGATGTCATCAAGTTAGCTTCGTAGCTTTAGAGGTTTTTTTCTGTATTGCTAACAACATTTAGCCGTTACGGTTGGTACAATTCCCTATATTGCAGTCAGATACAATAATTTTTTGTGTTCAATTACTCTTGGAATAAAATGTACTTTGTGCAAACAGCATTTCCTAAAAGTTACAAGAGCTTTACATGTGTAATAGTATCTTTTTTTGTAAGCTTACAAATTCATTGTTTAGCTTTGTTAAAATGGTTTGAATTTTTAATACCAAATACTGAAGCAGATACTTTTCTTATGTATGGCAGTATGGATACCAAACTTCAGGAACACATCTTTTGTTTTTTCAGAGAGACATGCCAATAAGAGATCACAGAAGCTAGCAGGACAGCGGCTAGCCCAGAGGTGACATTAGCTTAAGCTTGCTATTAAGCTAACAGGGGCGCCATTTTGGATTGGGGCTTTAAAGAGCGACAAAAAAAAAGAAAAGCTTCACATTCCAATTGAATCCCACCTTTGTACTAGAGCATGGCCCTGCCTCCAGTGACAGTTGAGATAATTCAGCTTGTTTATACATAGAAATATATATATATATATATTTAAAAAAAAAAATCCTTTTAAAAGCAGACTGCTCCAGAGAGAACTCGTGAGGCAAACAGAAGCTGGACAAACTAACTAAGCTTATAGCTATAGGCAGCATGCATGCACATCACAAAGTAGGTGTTCAAACAAATGCACAATTAGGGCAAACATGTTACTATCTAATATGATTGTTGCTCAATCACTCTGACGACATGTACACTGCTTTCACGTCAAATGAATTCTGAATTAGCTTATTCAAGTCCTAAAGAAATACAAATATAAGGTGTGAACACTCTTATACTAAAACATTAGATTCCTTTTGTATTTAGTTTTCAGATACGTCTTCTTCATAGAGATATTTATTCATATAATCATATCAACAAGATGTTTCCCCTTGAAGTGCCAATTTAAGTGCTCCGGTCTCAGATGTTTAAAGGGTCTAAAGACCCTCATTGAAGTGCTAAATGGCTCTGTGGCCGGAAACAAAGTGCCTGAATAATTAGTCAAATTTGTTGATTTTTTAAAAAAATCTTTTTGCCAAAAAGGTGTTTTCTCTTATTCAGGATCCATTTGAAAAAAAAGAAAGAAAGAAAGTATCTGTCACGTAGATGTTGGCTGCACTTTTCACTGTCAAACGGCATCAAACGGCAACACTGAAGAAACCCAAAGCATGTCTGCGAGAGTGTATACACAAATAGCATTTTTAAATACTGATAAGAAATAAGATTTACTCCAAAAAACACAAGGCAAAACTCTTTTTTTTTCACATTTAGAGAGGAGAGAGAGAGAGAGAGAGAGAGCGAGAGAGAGAGAGAGAGAGGGGGAAAGAGGAAGGAAGGAGCTGGCCTGAGCTGCGCATTACAAATACATCTTGAATGTCTAAATTTATACATGCATGGGGCGAAAAATTTTTACAAGTGTGTGTCGACGCATGTGTCTGTATGTGCTGTGTTGCGTGTTGAGTGTCTACATGTGTGTCGAGCTGATTTCCTGAGTATAAGAACACCCACCATGATGGGGAATATTCATTAGGCAGGACAGGAAACAGCAAAGCAAAGATTTTTCCCTTAGCAAAAAGGTGCTTGATATAACCCCGGTGAAAAAAAAAAAAAAAAAAAAAAAAAATCACTGTTACAGTCATCATGCTCCATACTATATACATTTCTGCCAAACAAGCACTTGAAAGTCAGTCACTGTTACAACATCCAAATACAATGGTATTGCTGATGAGTGGGAAATAAAAATAGTCATTTAACCACCTGCAAAAACCCTTTTTCTTTTTTTCTTTTTTTTTTCCTTTCAATTCAGTGCTGAGGAAGGCAAAGGAGGAATGTTTTCGGTTGCAGCCTGTACAAAGTTCTCCTGTACAGAAATACAAATGTGAGACGCTTGAAGACATTTTTGCATATGAACATTTTACAGTCTAACTGCATCGTAACTTCCTCGTGTACAGAAACTACTGTATTCTCATTTTTCATGAATTAGTTTGAACATTCAGAGGATTTTTTTTTTTTTTTTCTTATTCCTGAGTTTGAATTGCTGTGACGAAAAGGGCCACTAAGATATAGTGAGAAGAGAACCAGAGAGAGAGAGAGAGAGAGAGAGAGAGAGAGTGAGACAGAGAGAGGTAGAGAAAATTGATAAAGACAGAGTGGGAAAAACAAAAAAAGAGAGGAGAGAGAAAGGCAGAAGAAGCAGAGATACTGTCGGTACACGGAGAGACAAAGAGAGCTGCTGTTTAGGTCCGATGAGGTTGAACTATGAGTTGTGATGAGCGACACATGAAGAACGGAGTCTTCACTGTAGAGGTTGCTGCCCGGCCGAAGTGTAGCACCACTGTAAAGGTTTGGTGAGAAGTTCCCACTCTGTCATGGTTAAGAGGAAAAATACCTGGAGAACAGTATTGCTGCTGTTAAGACAACTTTAGTGTCAACCGTTCAAAAAGAAAAAAAAAAAAAAAAAAAAAAAAACAAAAAAAAAAAAAAAAAAAAAAAAAAAAGACAGCACAAAAAGACATAAATACATACAAAGCTTGTTTTTCAGTGAACACTGGGAGAGGCCGACATCTCAACAACCCCGAGAGAGGGTTTGTCAGAAGAATAAAATTAAATAATAAAAAAAAAAAAACAAAACAAAAAAAACAAAAAGAAAAAAAAAACAACAACACATAGAACCACCACTACATAGCACAGTCCTTCCTCGGCTGCTCGTCAGTTGTGCATTTGTCAGTCATTTCCTGACAAAAATCAACTGTTACCGTCTGGTTGGATTTTTCAGTGGACAGCCCTGACTTTGTGTACAAGCCGGCGTCTTGGCCGTCCATATCTTTATCCGCCCCGTTTCTGACGGCCAAGTCAGGCTCGCTCTCTGAGGGGCCGGGCGACCCGTGGAAGCTGGGTTCCGGCGTGGCCGAGCCCGAGTGGGCGGTGAGGTCGATGCTGGTGGTGGCGTTGGTGAGGGCGGCGGAGGGGCTGCGGGGACGCTTGGGCTCGTGGGCAGCGTTGTTGCCGGCGGTGGAGTTGGAGGGCCGCAGCACGGGGCAGTAGTGGTGTAACGACTGGACCTGCTCGGGGCTCAGCTGGACGTCCCTGCACACTTCCTGGGACAGGCAGGAGAAGTTCTCCCACAGCTCGCCCATACACGCCTTCAGCTGGTTCCTCTCCGTCAGCAACTTCTCCTTCTCACACACCTGCACGCACACACAACAGTCAACGCGTGACACTCAATGGTTTAGTCATTTAAAGTCATCACAGAAAGGCGTACTGTTGCGTCACTGTATTTTCACATCTGCAAAAAGCATTTTTGATTTAACTGATTTGGGTTAAAATTGTACTAGGTAGCAAACAGGAAGTCAATTTTGACACAGCCTTAGTGTTTCCATGGCTACGATGTCTTTATCTCTTGGAGTCCATTTTTGGCCTGGCTCAGGAAGTGACTGAAAAATGGTTGATCAAGCTAATGCGTCATCATACCTGTAAACAGTAACCACTCTGAGCAGGATACAGGTTAGACACTGAATTATTCAACCTCAAGACTTGATTTTTTATTTTATTTTTTTAACTATATGCAATATTTCATTTAACAGAACCATTGTAGGCATCTTGTTCAGTATTTTATACCTCATTCACTTTCAACTTTGCTGCACTCAATATGACCGAAGAGGTTAAAACTGATAAGAGAAATATGCTGGAAAGCCGATGAAAAATGTGGTCATGATAACATCAGTAGACAAATTTACATTTCTCTTGACATTGTTTGCTTTTTCCTATAACATTGACTTTTCTTGAAGATGCAACAGGAACCTGTATCAGTCTCAGGTATGGAAAAGTTACCTTCATGCATTTGAAAAGAGCTGTTAGATTCACTGCATGATAGAGAATATTAGTTCTGCTTCAAAGGTTGAAACACTTTGCTCTAATTAAATCTCATGATTGTATAGTGGTTAACATTATGTTAATATTACTTTGTCATATGTTGTGCAGTGCTGTGAAAATACGACTGCTGCCGCCAACTGATGGGACCGGAGGAGAGAAAAGTCTTATATTGTTGCAGTTCAGACATCTGGCCACTAGAGGTCAACAAAGCCAACGTTCTTAATGTCACTTTCATTTCCTGTAATCTCCAATCTTTATCAAAAATGTGACATATTATGAGGTTGTCAGATATCAGGTGCGGGCCAATCTGAAGGACAGAGCTCTAAATAACGGCGGCCCATCTGAGAGGAACTTCATCACATCACCACAGGTAACTGTTACCCCTGACGACAAGGTGTTTAATGAAGAGCTGAGGGTGCGGAAGCAGTCGACTCACCAGTTTTCTGATCTCACACTCCAGGTTCAGGATGCAGTCGAGCTTCCTCTTGCGGCAGCGCTGCGCCGCGATGCGGTTCTTGCTCCGCCGCCTCACGTCGTGGATGAACTCGAGCTGCTCCGAGGTCAGTTTGTGCATTTTCACCAACATTTGGAAGTCGTTCCGTGGAAGATTTGTGATTTGATCTACGGGGAAAGGGAGCTTCACCTGGAAAAGGGGAAGAAAAAATATCAGACATCAGTTTTATTATTCAGCATTAATTCAGCTGGACTGACAGTTTACACAGTTAATGTAAAAATATCAAGGTCATCTTTCTCCTACAGAGTCTGAAGTGTGCCGCTGGTATAATTATAGTCTTTTGACAGTGTTCAACTCATGAGTAATTATTAATTGATTAATTGAATTGAGAATGTATTACTCAACTCAAAGTTATAAAAAATCAATTTGCAAGTGTATAACTATGTGGAAATGGGGAAAAAAGCAAATTGAAAGACTTTCCATTGTAAAATTTCAACTCTGCACACCCAGAGTTGTTTTCATTTCTTTTGGCTGATTAGACGTTTGTTCAGGTTGAAGTTGGGTTGGTGTTACTGTGGGATTTATGTGAAGGTTCATGTACAAATAAAGATCATAAACATGTAGGTTGTCGCTCCCTGTGAAGGTGCAACAAAGCCAACAGGAGAGTGAGGGAAATGTCAAACTGTCTGTTCACTCCCACACAAACCTGACAAAAGATCTAATCAACTGAAAAAGAAACGTGTAAAGGAACGTGTAGGCGTCCAATTCCTGTGCAGGGCCTTGATATGAAGATTTGATCTACTCTTTGATTTCAACTTTGAACTATAAATCCACGATTTGAATCTGAAATGTACAGAAATTGCATAAGGTGGATTTTCCAAATGGGGTTCAGATGGGGTTTATTCTCCCATGAGTCTTATATTTGAAATAGCTTATGAATAAATATTCCTAACTTCTTTTGGCAGGAATCATGACCTCAGTATTTCTTCAATCCTTTGCTTAAACTCTGAATGCATTTATTCCAGATTTCATCCTCTTGTCCGTGTCAGCTTTACGCAAATAGAGCTGTGTACACCGACAGCGCAGCGGCTCGCATTTCACTCGTGGGTGACCGCCAGGAAGAACAAAAAAAAAAAGAAAGAAGAAAATCCACATTTTACACAGATAATTGATTTCTATTTTTATGTGTCTTGATAGGGGGGCGTGGTCAGGTCAAAATGAACATGATGCTTCGGGGCGTTTCACGTAAATACAACAGATTATTTTACAGTTTTTATTTATTTATTTTTTTAATCACAGATTTTTCACCAAAAATTTCACCAGGTAAATCAAATAGCCCATTGTATCCACTATTGTAAGAGCCGTTACTACATCTGACCACAAGATGGCAGTAGAGCACCACTCCACAATGCCTCACAGAGGAAGACTTAGTGAGCATTCAGCTCTCTCCGCCTCACATTTAACATGTAGCACATTCTCAAGCATAGGGGGAAAAGGTGATCCAAGAAAAGAGTCCCTCTCCATCTGTCCTGGAAGTGTGCCCCCTCCATCTGACAGAGAAGTATGCCAGCATTGGTGGGGTGGTGGGGCGTGTGTGGGGGTGGGGGTTGGGGTGGGGGTGGGGGGGCAGTGACTTGTCAACCTGATCCAAATCAGTGTCAGGTGATTTCTGGGGTCATGAATATCTGCAGCAGTGCTCACAGGCTGCAGAACAAAAGAATTAGTGGAATAAATACGACAGTCATTTGGCAGTGCAAAGCAAAATCAAAAAGCCAGATAATCCGCCGCTGATATGACAACATATCAAGGTTGTATATGTGTTTATTCTCTTTTTCTCAGTTTGGAGAGCAACAACAAGTCAGCCTCTCTCCCCGAGGTGATGGCAAACCTTATGATAAGCACATCATAGGCAGATCCACCCCAGTGGTATCTGTGTGCACCAGGGAGCTGTAGCTCTAGGCAGCGAGGGAAGCAGTGGAGGCATAACAAAGAGCCAGAGGAAGACAGCCGGAGAGCTTGGCAGAGATGAGAGGAGCTGCAGCTCTCTCTTTCTCCTCTCCCTTTCCCTTTTTCTCCCTGTGGCTGCCTCTGTGGAGCGCAGGAAGAACAAAGCCAAACAAAGGAGGAAGACAGGAGAAAGAGGAGCAAGCGATGTGACTCCACTCCATACCTGGCTGACTCGAGCGGGGCCGGATGCTCCCCAGAGACCCTTAGCCGCTCAGATGACTGCAGGCAGAGGCTGCAGCACAGGCAGCTCAGCTTTGTTTCTCCATACTGGTGCACAGCGGCGGCGGAGCTGTCACCCTGGTGTAAGCGCCGCACTCGGGGGGATAAGGCAAGGTGCCCACTCATGACAGAATCGAAATTACTCCTCACTCAAAGGCAAATCTAGACATCAATCTCTCTCTGAAAGAGAAAATAGCTCGAGTTTCCTCATTAGAAGTGCAGCCTTCTGAGCCGCCAGGAGCCCTATTTCTCATCTCGGCTCAACATCTGCATGCAGACACATGAATAAATAATGGCCTGAGCTTTCAAGGCCACACTGGGCTCTCGTTACTTTGCCAGGGCATGACTACTCCAGCCTCAAAGAGAGGCGTCGGGAGAGCAATAAAACATCAGTGCGAGCTGCCAGCTTTATCTAAAGCAAAGGAGAAGATGACTCTCTTTGTGATTAGATAGCTTGTGCACCATACCGCACAGCAGATAGAGAAGTGTGAGCTTCTTCCACCACCGGATCTGATGGGAATCTATGGCCAAACAAGGGGGAAGGAGACGCTGCAACCTTGTGCTGGTTTCTTTCTCCTCTGCATCCACCAGTCACTGGTACACAGGGGATGGCTAAATTTAGCCATCCACCATGAGAACCAGTTCAGAGGCAAAGCTGGGATGACAGAGTACACTTCCACGCTGGTGAATTCACACCCAACTGTTCTGGATTTACATTTCTTTCTTAATTCTCTTCAGTCACTCTCTTTGTCTGGGTCAATTTTTTGCTGCAAATGGGGTGCAGAGTGAAAAGTAGGGCTCATCTGTTATCCAGACCAGCGCCGTGCTGGGCCTCAGCCATGACACCGTGCACTGTTAAAATATAATGGATGTTCAGGTTTCAAGGTGAGGTGATCATTTACACCTGCTGATAGGTTTTTTTCTTTCAATATAAAGAAGCTGCAGAAAATATTCAGATCCTTTCACTTTTTAAATACTTTATTGTGTTGTAGATTTATCTTTAAATGGATAAAAACTGCTACTTTACACTCAATAACCCCATGATGACACCACACGTCAGGAGAAAAATTTAAACACAAAGTCCAAGGATCTCTCTGCAGACCTGTGTGATGAAACTGTGGTGAAGTGTAGCTCAGGGTCAGGGGTATAAAACCATTTCCAAAGCTTTGAATGTTCCCAGGAGCGCAGCGGCCTCAGTAATTGTGAAATGGAAGCTTGGAGTCTTCCTCGAGTCGGCCAACCGGCAAGAAGAGCCTTGGTCAGGGAGGTGACCAAGAACCCGACGGTTACAGAGATGGAGAACCTGCCTGAAGGACTCTGTCAATCAGGCCTTTATAGATGGAAGCCACACTGAGGAAAAGGTACGTGGCAGCCTGCTGGAGTTTGGCAATGGACGTTTAAACGATGCTCATGAGGAAAAAGATTCTCTAGTCTGATGAGACAAAAACGTTACCATTTGAACAGAACTCTGGCTAATACCATCCACAGGGTGAAGCGTGGCGGTGGCAGCGTCATGATAGAGGAGTCCTTGAAGAAGACCACACGACCTGAGACTGGGGCGTCGGTTCACCTTTCAGCATGGCACTGACCTGAAGCAAACAGCCAAGACACGGGAGTCTCTGACTGTACGCGAGAGGATCTTCAACGAAGAATGAAATAAACTGCCCAAATTCAGGTGCGCAAAGCTTGTAGAGAATTACCCAGGAAGACTCAAAGCTGTAACTGGGGACGAAGGGGGGTTTCTACAAACTGAACGAAGGGTCTGAATACTTTTGTAAAGAAGAGATTTCCATTTTTGATGGGCAAAAATGGCAGTTTTGTCAATTTAATTAGCACAATAAAGCGTGCAAAAAGTCTGAATACTTCTCTGAAGCCACTGAATGTTCTAGTTCATTACAGCTTGGGTTTTATTTTCACCAACTAACACAGCACAAAAAAAACAAAAAAACTACAAATATAAACCCCAAGTTGTAATAAAGAAGAATTGATCTTGTAAAGAGGAGCAGTCTGACAGTTTGGAAAACACACTTTCTGTTTCTCAGATGAGAAGAGAGGAAACTTATCTCTGTGCATCTAGTACAGAGAGTGCTCTGAGATGTGTTTAGACTTGCTTGTTATGCAGAAATATGGAACTGCTCCTTTAAAAGAAAACCCAACAATGCATGACCCGAGTCCAGCTGTATTACTTAACACACAGATACGAGACTCCATTTTTCTTATCTCGCTCTCTGGAAAGAAAGCAAATCAACTTATTTTCCAAAAACGTTAAGTAAGGATATCTTTGCATTGTGTTGTAGCCCTGCGTCAGGTGGAGACCCGGAGCGGAGGGGAGTCAGTGTGTGCTCACCTGTTAAGTCTCTTGACCCGCTCCGAAGCCTTTACACTCAACTTCATTTCCACAAAGGCAATTTCTCTACTCGCAGCTGTTTAACCCAAAGGCCCCGGCGCTGTCAGCACTCAGATATTTTCTCTGGCAGTTTGCTTTAAGCAATTTCCTTAAGTGATTGCTGCCTGACACCTCCGCTCCAGGTCTGAGCACTACTTGTCCCCTATCTAATCCAAACCAAAATGAGATCTTATCAGTTTTAATGTGTGATTCAGAATTCTGCACATTTGTGTTTCATGCTATCTCTGTAATTAACCCTGTTACGTCTCACATGCTTGCAAATGGGATTATAAAGCCACATTACACATGCAAGTCCTGAGTTAGATCTTAATGAAGAGGATGATGAGAGGTTCAGTAGTAACTCTTCCATCCTGGGGGCTCAAGTAATTATCTGCAACATTTTCAGATAAATTACGATAAATTAATATATATGAATGACTGTTGTTGGCTCTCTTGCTGAATGACGAAATCACGAAATATATCAGCTTCATAAAAAGCTGTATCTAAGTTATAAATATTAAATGTTATGGAATAAACACATGAAAAAAAACGGGCAGTTAATTCTGAAAAAGTGTCA